CTTGCTCACTGCTTCACAGTTCGCTTTTGTATGCACTTCTTGCAAACGGACGAAGCACAACCGTGTTTGTCTTGCAGCTTGTAACCCACCGGTTGGGGACGTCCCAATAAAGTTGTCACACTCATTAGGTTTGTATGGATTACTAGACACCATGAGGCTTTCTCGATATCCACTACGCTGAGACCCTCCCGTCATAAATGACTGTGTTTTGCTCTATGATTTCTCTATTCCAGTGGTGGGATGCAGTATACTAGCAAACTTGCTGAAAGCTTGGTTGACACTGTCTTTCACCAGGCTCACAGTGTCATCCAACCGAGGCTCTAGACCCTCCTCCACTAGACGTGAAGAGACCTTCATGAACTTCCTTTGTAGACGCACGGGTAATCTCTTGGCAACGTCATCAAGCACAGAATTTGCATTCAACCCATCCATATTGTTAATGTAAACGAGAGTATTTCTGTATGCCATTAAATTATCCAAGAACTCTGCGAGTTCCTCTTAATTATCGTTTAACTGTGATCCATTACCTTTTACGGTCTCGAAAACGTTACGGGATATCATAAATGAAATCCCAAACCTTTGACATAGTATCCTCATACCCTCTGTATATCCTTCGTTCGCGGACATAAACTTGCAGCACTGTATGGCTCTTGCAGCCACACCAATGCGATACCTCAACAAATACATTAACTTCATTTCGTCATTTAATACAAAACCACTCAACATGACCTCAAACTCTTTGATAAACTGTGGGAAGTAGCCTCCGTTTCCATCAAAGTATCGAGGTTCAAATGTAGGGAGCCTTACGGCACTACTATCCCTAAACGGCGAAGCGTGAACATCAGACTCATCATGCTGAGCATCATGCATATCATTATAATTAACAGGCAACTCACCGTTAATTTTTTGTCCGCTTCCACGGTGCCACGTCCTTTCCTTGACCCAGGAATTATCCAACGTCACCAAAGGATCCGAATTTCGTTGATAATTTGTGTCCAAAGAGAAGGTGGCTGCAGATTTAGTAAGTACACCCGGAAGAGTTCCAGAAGGCGCTCCAGAAAATGAGCCGAAGAATAAAAACTGTCAAAGAACTTAACCTAAGTTCCTATTGTAACGAAGACGCTCGGAACCGATAATTACGATGTACTTGTCTCGACTTCAACTCCAAAACACCAGTATTCGTTGAAGGAAGTTGTATTGTTTGGAAATTAGAGTTGAGACAATTAAAAGTCTATAAACAAATGTTTTGTACAAAATTAGAAGGTACTTTCATTCGTATTCTCTTCTCGTCTTCAAACTTGCACACAATAGAACCATTTGCGCCTTCGAGTTGCTCACCACTGGTGACCAAGTTCAATGAACCAAAATTCCAATTTCATATTCCTTGACAGGTTCTATAGCGAATACTGCCTCACTTGACATAGTCTTGCACAAGTTCACGCCACTACAATGCTGAGAGTGGATGTGCGCACCGTTGTTTGCATCATCGGAGAATACTTGTCCTCTGTGCAGCGGCGTGTGGTGTCTCCAACCACAACCCTCAATCGTACAGGGTCTTGGAGACAGCCAATTCTTTACTATATGGTTAACCTGTAAACAGACGTCACATAGTTTCCTCTTAAACACGAAATCTAAACGTTCATCAAGGTCTTCACCTTGAAACTGCAGGCATTCTTTTAGAATGTATTCTCCTGAACATGATATGCAAGGTGGAATGAATAAGCGGGACTCCTTCTAAGGATCAGTAGTCGGCTTCTCAACATTACTGTCCAAATAAGCTTATGTCACCTAACGATAGTTCACCACCGGTCTTTACGATGTTGCAGGCAACCTCTACCCATTCTCTCTGAGAATGTGCAGCCAGTACCAGGACTAGGTGTTCAGTATTGCTACCAGAATTGTGAATTATATTATTTTGTCTAATTGGGTCAACATACAGGGTCCTTTAACCTACAGAGCTTGTCCTGCCTGAGTGAGTTTGTAGGCTTGAATGCCACTCTAATTCCTAGTCTATTAAAAATCCTACGTAAGGTATCAGATATCCTTTCCCTATGTGTATGTATATGATTATGAGCAATAAATTGTGCTCGGACCGTCATCAGTAAATATCACTGCACAGCACTGTGATTTATTGAAATAAACTCTTCTCCATAATGTAGTTGTACTCCGTGCACTCTGACTAACTCAGTCACGTGATTGGTGACTGGTGACAAGCTCTGCACTCTCTATAAAATGGTGCATTCCATTCTTTCTTTCTTACTTCGTACCGGTACCAGTCTTGTTGGTTTTGTGTGATTGTCTTTCCTTTATCATTTTATATTGGCGGAGCAAGTCGTCGTGCTTCAGATGTCACGGGTTGTCCTGAGGTTGTGGTGTGATGTATAATATTGCTGGTTATGCTCGGTAGATCGTTAGACAGGAAATTAAGTTCCGGATATTTATCAACAATCGGTTGAAAAGTTGGATCAAGGATTACCTTCATCTTAACGAGTGAAGAGTCGCCAGCACAGCTTGTACTGACTGTGGCACATTGGAAAACAAAAGTTCTCTGAAATTCCTTCATCGAACTGACGATGGCCGATAACTTCCCTCATTCTTGCTAGCATGCTAACGACTGACTAATCACCTAACTTGACGTTGCGAAATAAGTCGTCCAGATACTGTCGATGCGTGAGAACGTTTCTTCTTAGGAGGGTTGCTTTAGGCGACTCAAACGAGTTCCTTACCTCTGGGCCCGACATCTGCACAGTTACGCATTAGCTGAATTCCATCAGTAGGGCGTGAACAACTGAAAGGATCCGTCAAGGTTGATCAGTTAACCCATTCTCATGAAAATCATACTCAGCTATCTGGAACCATGATTGAGAATTATTCGGCCAAAATGGTACGAGCTGAATAGTTATGGCAGTTGAGCGAATACGAATGACCTAAGGGGTATTATCACTCATAGAGGAATATATATAGTTTAAAAACAGTACAAGAACAAATACAAAATGAAAAGAACCCACCGGATTTATCTGGGTATTTACCAAAGATGAAGTTCGTGGTAGAGCTCACCATTTTAGAGGCTGAGGATATTGACGTTTGCGGATAGTATGAAGTAAACTTACGCAAGATCTAATACCCACAACTTCTATAGCATTCGTTCCGCGTAGACCAAAGGCAAAGCAAAACACCAGAATTAACCATCTAAATTACGAGATATATTTCGGGACCAAATCAGTGTGTGAGATGATTGCTTAACTAGCTTGGGATCGTGCACGAACGAACGTGACACGAAAACGCACCAAATGGCGTGTATGCTTGACCGGGAGCCCTTAGCTAAACAAGCTGATTTAAACAGTGAGGGTCAGCATCCAATGTTCAGTGATGAATTTTGGGGAATTATTTACCACTACAAGGGAACTAAATAAGCACAAATAATTCCGAAGAAATTTTATGTTGATGAAGTTTCATAGTGTTATACAGTAGTATTTACTGATCACCCTTTGAGCACAATTTATTCCTCGTAATCATTTCTCGTTATTCACAATTTTCTGACTCCGCTTATTTGATGCCATTATTTCCATTTATCTGTCAGTCTGACTGCTGGCGGTATACTTGTACATCTGGCATTAGTGACGAATCGTTCCCATTGCATGTGTTGGCTATAGGTTCAGTGAACAAAGATTCAGTAATCAACCCCCTGCTCTCTCTTCACCCATCTATATTACTTTTTAGAATTTTAACACTGTCCTAAGGCGTTGTGTGATTGTGTGTTAACGCATGCTGAGTATTTCCTTTCGAAATAATTATGTTGTGAAAAAATTACTACCCCTGATCTAGAGATTTGACTGGCTAACCTATATAGTTGATTTAAATCACAGTCATTGCAGGGTATTTTGTAAATTATATTATTTTGTCTAACTAGGTCAACCTACAGGGTCATTTAACATGCAGTGCTTGTCCTCCCTGAGTGATTTTGTAGATTTAAATGCTTCACTATTTCCTGCTTCAGTAAAAATCCTACTTAGGGTCTCAGGTTTCCCTCCTCTGAGGTAAAATTGCAGATGTCCTAAGTTCTTTCTTATTTGTGTTACTAATATTAGGTTTCTTATAGTTCTTTTATTTTGCTTTGATGTTTTTTGATCTTCCTAATGAATTCTATGGGATAGTTGCATATATAAGACCAACGCTCCTGCCTCATTTCACTACTTACCTGTTTTGACCTACTGCTTTGTGATTTTAACCTGCCTGTCAGAGACTTAACCAGGTCTGCCTTCACAGATAATGGATGAGGTATTAGTTTAAATCTACATATCTATTAGAATGCTTTAGCTTTTAATAAATGCCAGTATGCTAGTTTACATTCTTCCTCTCGTTTTATTTTAATAACATCGTAACGAATTTTCCATGCTCATTTTCTGATTCAGATGTGAATTTTCTTCCCTTTACTATTGAGATTATCTATCTAAAGAAACTAGAGATACTTTTTTTAACACCTATGTATCTCCACCATATCTTTTGGGTGGGATTAGATGTATTAGGAGCCGTATTTTCCCCTGTGTTCATGGAGATGTCTGCTATGATTGGAGATATTGGTGATCACATTGCTATCCCCTCTGTTTGTTTGCATATTTTGACCTGGAATTTGAAGATTGAAAATATGAAGCATAGTTGAATTCCTGAAATAATTTTTTTACTGCGCAGCTTTGTCCTGTGTGTAAGTTCGGAATAAAGGAATACTCAAGAAATCCCGCCTTGGAGGATTTACAATTCCATAAAAACCTCAAGGAGAAGTCCATTTTTGAATATTGCCTATACTCCCACTATATTCGTGTCACTGAAGATAAATATTCATATCTTCTTCGGAATTAGGTGAGGTGCTGGAATTATCCAATTTAATCCCAGTTTCTTTTTCAATTAAACACTCCATTTTCTTTTGTGAGTAAAGTGTAAAGCTCTGAGGACATAAAGCTGAACAGCCAAACATTTACTATTTTCAATAAATGTATTTTGAAGTTGAATTTTGTTTAATGTTTCTCAGGTCGTGTCCTTTGGCGGTTAAGAAGGATGAGTGAATATGTTCTGGATGCTGACCATGAAATCCAAGAGGATGAGTTTAACGAGGAGAGTACCAAAGAAGATGTTAGTGTGTCCGATGAAATGCATTTTGATGCTGTAAATAAGAGTGCTTAAATCTAAAATTTTACAGGAGCTTGAGGCAATCAAAGAACGTTTTAAAGAAATGGAAGCTGACGCCAACAAGCTACATGATTTGCGCCGTGTGATTGATAAATCCCCAGTTTCAAGTGAGTTTATTCGTATAATTTCTTCTCTTGTATGAAACAAAAACCCAGTAGATAATTCATAAAGCTTACTCGGTTATTCGGGCTTAACGACGGGTAGGTTTGTGAACTTATACAGTGTCTCCATAAGGTTTCTCTGGACTTTCCTGATAGTCTTGTGTAAGTGCAACGGCTGTTGGACGGTTTGTGTTACGCAACCCAGCATTTATTGTCAAAAACGGCTTTTTGTCGCATGTTTAGTCCTATCCTATGCTATCAGAGACACTATGGTATGATTAGTGAGATAGGATTGTTTGGTAGGTGTATCTGTTTGAAGAGTCGTCACACTGAAATCCTTATACATCAGGTCACTTTTCCTGTCTGCAAAGGATATTTACATCAATTGACAATGTATTATGTGCCTCTATGCTGGTTTAACCTAGGCATGCGTGAGAATTCGTCATATCAGTGAACCTGCGTCCTTTACCGGAATTGCTGACTGTGATGCAGGTTTTCTCCACCCTAGACGTAGTTTGTCGTATGACTTATGATATTTTCTTCAGTTTTACCTTGATTCTTATTGTTTACAAGCACCTAGTTCCATTTCCCATTCGTGTAATCCCAAACATATGGAAAAAATTTACATCAAAAATGTTGAGCGCCCGATTGATGGCAGTATAGCCCGAATATCGCTATAACCAAAACTGCTTCCAGTAAATACTTCCTGCACGTCATCTAATGCTGCAAATGGGTGGACAAGCGCAAGGCTGAAAGCGGCTTATACTATATTGTAAATAATATGGGTAGATTCTTACTGCGAGCGTAATGTTTCTCGAGCAGTGTCATGCAAAGGTTTTGTTGTAGTGTTGGGTACAGGTATACATTGCTAGCAATGTTGATAGGTAAAATGTGAAAAATTATTTGATAAATTCTAATAAAGGCAAAAGAAAAACGAAAATATGCGTAGAATAACTGCACTAATCGAAATCCGTGAATTGCTACTTCACTGCAGTTGTTTTTCGGATAGTCTAGAGTGCTCTTGAACCTCTGCTGTTTGTAGTTTTCAGCACTACTATACATAATTCGAAATGTATGATTTATAAGATCTTCCTTTATTCTTGAAAAGTGGGGAAGCAGGATAGTTGAGTAATGAAACCCTATTAACCTTTGTTACCAAAGTGCAACCAATTTATTGGCTTACAGACGAAATTTTCGGTATGGTAGATCCTGTAGGGATATTCAATCAAGTCAGCATAGTTCATCGGTTGATTGCAGTATAATGATCGTGTTCAGATAAAATATTTCTAACTTTGCGAAGAGTCTGAATATCACCCCAAAATTAAGCTTGGGTAACCAAGTGTTATCATGGCCCCTTCCAAACGTTCTAACCTTAGTTCCTGACTGACTAGTTCCAATATAGAACTTTGCGCAGACATGCGGGAGTTCGAGTTGCCACACTCCATGTAGCACACAAAGCCAGAAAAGAGAGTTAAAAGTAATGCAAAATAGAGACAGTAAACAGAGACATGAGGCAAAATGAATACAGTTTCATTGAAAATTGTAAGTCACAAAAAGTGGATGCATCTGCTGTAGGCATTGAGAACGATTTTGAGCCACATCACAAATTGTCTCCAACAATTAGTGTTTACCGTTCTAAGGACGCCAACCAGTCAAGAAGTCTACACCTCCCGATGTGGCCTCAACTAACTGTTGTGGATTTCGTTGACTAATGAAGCCATGTTTTTGTTTGACCACCACTGACTCTTTCCCAACCTCACCCCATGTCAGCTAATATTGCCCATTGTTGAGGGAGGCGATGGTTGGGCATGCGTAACACACATCCTAACCATCTCAATCGATGTAACTTCACAGCCTCGTGTATTGATTTCCCCTCCTCACCTAGCACTTGACAGATGCCTCACCTGAATATCGCTCACCCTATAATACCACTTCACATGGGAGATAGAACTCAGACACCTATGGTCAAAGACAACTAGCCAGCCTTTTCATGTCCTCCACTCTCGATGGCCAGGCCTCACACGATAAGTATGACGCATAGTCTGGTACTTAAAAGCTCTGTTCCGGGTGGTTAAATTCAAACGGCCTCATCCTTTATATTAGTTGTACTCATGTACGAGTGTGATCAAATCGACAACGAAAGTTTGTATTTCATGTTCATATTAGACTTATAAAAGACTGTGAATGTTTTTTTTTCTATCTTATTCATTACCAACGTCAAGAGAAATAAACTACGGAGAATAGTGGTATCAAACGGAAGTGAAGCTAGGGAATGAAGGACGAATAAGATATCCACTAAACTAGGAGGACTTTGTGTGGATGGAGGCGCGCATAGGCGATGCACTTTAAGCAGAAAAAAGAACATCCTCACGTAACCAGAAAGTTGATTTAACAATTGCTCGTGTTCTTTTAACAGTGGGACGTGACGCTGAAGGGTGAAGTCAACAGGTTCAATTTCTGTAATCGCTCTCTCTTAGTTTCTCCAATACTTTACAGAAAGGCAGAATAAAATTTTCTCTAATCAACTGTGTTCATACAAAAGTAAGTTGACTGCAAAACAGTCAGCTTAATTCTTCGAAGAACGGTTGTATTGTCTCTGTCAATTACTAATCATCAGTTGGGTGTTCTGTTGCAACTTGGCATTGGATGTCTGCAGAGTGGCAGACGTCGTGGATTAAACAAGGATTATCATATACGTACTATGAAGGTTTTCTCTACACCACCTCACTGAGATTGGCTTTCAGTTATATTCCTTCCGACTATAGTCTGAGCACTCAGACCGATTGAGTCACGTAAGTGGTGACTGGTAATAAGCTCCGCACTCTCTACAAAAAGATACATTCCGTTCTTTCTCTCTTCATACCAGTATCCGTTGAAGTTAGTTTTGTGTGATTATCTTTCTTTTTGTCATGTTACATTAGCAGTTTTTACCCTGTGCACATAGGCTAGTTGGCAAATTATAATAAAAATGAAGAGTTGCCCTGAAACCCCATGCAACGCGAGCAGACCTCATGTTGTTTGAAGGCGACTAGTGGTAGATAATACTTGGCTTTCAGATAGCTGGTGAAATTTGAAATTGATATATATATATATATGTACAGTTTAATTAAACTTTCCTAGTTTCATTGCTCAGTTTTCCAGACTTTTTTGGTATTCCTTTAATATTTTCTATGCTTTTAGAGTCGAATAACCCAGTTTTGTCAGAGGAAGACAAAACTGAAGTTGACCTTCGTTCTGTGTATGTGGGGAATGTAAGTTATGGTTATTATTTTTTAATAATTCACCCAAACAATTATTATAGGTAGATTATGGTTCTACAGCAGATGAACTTGAAGCCCATTTCCGCGGATGTGGACCAATCAATCGTGTTACCATACTGTGCAATAAATTTACTGGACATCCTAAAGGTTTTGCTTACATTGAATTTGACTCACGAGATGCTGTGGAAGCTGCTATGGCTTTGGATGACTCATCTTTCCGAAGTCGGCAGTTGAAAGTCCTACCAAAACGTACAAATGTCCCTGGAATGTCCATGACAAATCGTCCGCCTTTCGTTAGAGGTGTTGGTCGGGCACGTGGAAGAGGGTTGGCATTTGGTTTCCGTCCTGTGTACGCTGGTCGAATGCGTTTTCCAAGGTATCGGTAAGTAAGAAAATAAAAAACTAATTAATATATTTAGACAGAGCACTAAGATGGAGTAATTTGTCTGAATCTTTTCATGTGAACTCTTTATTCACAAATGTCCTTTCACTTGAAACAACTGACATTTTGTGTGATTACATTTCCACACGTAACTTCCTGATCCTGTTTCCTATATCTTATTTAAGGGATTTATTACTTCTACTTACTAGCAATGTTAGCTTCAAAGACGATTGCCTCCGTCGGGCCGATGGTGTAGCTATGGGAAGTCCGTTTGAGCCCCTTTTAGCAGATATCTATGTGTCGCATATTGAGAGTTCATAGGAAGACTTTAAAAAGGCATTACTTTAAAAGAGATATATCGACGACAATATAATCAAAAGTGATAAGCTTTACTTTTCCACCCCAATTTAAATCAAATGAATGAAGTTTAGAATAGCAAGCATATCACTTATGTCTGTAAAAGAGGAAGATAATTGTTTATCATTCCTAGATACATATTGCTTAGTCGACGGATGGCCTGATGATCTATATCTAGAAAACTCACATGGACAGGATAGTGTCTTAATTATCACAGTTCCTTGCCTGTTCGGTAGAAAATAACCTTAGTAAAGTGCCTCTTCAATAGAATCCAACGAATATGCACCAAAGATACACTTAATGAGGAAGAAAGAAAGTTGATAATAATTATCCGGACAAATTCATTAGGATATATAAATTAGTCAGAGCACTAAGAAAGCTACGCTATATGGATGATCACAGTAGCTGGGTAACTACACAACGTTTGAACGTTGTGGTTGGAAAGACTTTATGCAGCTAAGATCATAATAATTAAGAATGTGAAGCCAAACAGCTGTCTAGTACTCCCTGGTTTTCCAATGGTTCTCTAACTGATGTCAGCTCATGATGAAATCCTGAAACCAAACAAAAAAATAGATTCCCTACAAAACCAATACTTGAAAATATCCATGGAAATTCTTAGAACATACGAAAAATGATGTCCATCCCACTGTATTTGCCAATTTGAGTGTACGTGTGGCCACATATACATAGGAGGGAGGTCTCATCTATCTCTGTAAGTAAGGGCTGGCTTCAGAGCTTATTCCTAAATAGCTTCAGAAGCAAACAGAATCCCCAGAACCCATTGATGATGAGGACAGACGACCTAGCTCCTTTTTGCGAAACACATTATGGAGACAGGACATGAAAGTGAAGTTTACACGCCTTTAACACCCATTCATAAACGTGTTTGTGGAAGCCCTAGCTAGCAATTAGGAAGTTTAAACTACTCTTATGTCCTGATCAATAATAAGTCGTCATTACACTAAACCACTTCCTCGGTAAACTTTGTTTTGACGATAACAGCCAGGGCAGATGAACTATTTATTACCTCCCTTCTGTGGTTTAGTGATCTCAAACTGTTATTTTGACCTTCAATTTATCCTTTTCACTTGATCTACTGTCTATTTTCTCAACCTTTAACCCTTGGCTATTGTCATATATATATTCCTACTACAAGCCGACATGTGCTGCACACAAATACATTACACGAATTCAGACAAATTACGTCTTCTAATTATTGCTTTGTCTAAAGTGGAGTTCAGTCGTAACTTCTTCAGGCTTTACTCTAATTCACATAGCTTTATGTATAAAAATTGTAACCAAAGAGTTTGTGGATCGCACAATAATAATGTCTTAACTGTTTAGAACGTCAGTAATAACGATGATTATAATATAGAGGTTTATGAGGGCGGCGACAAAAATAACGAAGTTAGTAGTATGTGTATATGTAGAATATTCTATAAATAAATAAATTAGGGTCAAATCTTGTGGAAGGATAATCAGAGTTTATAAATAAATGTTATAAAAGTATAATGGGAATGGAAAGTAAGAAAGAGTTGATGATAGGTTTTGTTTTTAATTAGACTTTACCTAGGCCAAGCAAGGGAGAAGAGATAAAGGTAGAACAAGCTTTTGTATGCAAAGGCACTGGGATTGTTCTCTCGAATTTTCATAGCTTCCAGGATGTCTGTGTAAAAAGCGGGTTTGTAAGGTTCGATAGGATGTCCGATAACTTTGAAGGCACTTCTTCTGTCACTTGGTGACTGCCATCAATCAAATAAGATAGTATAGAACTTCTCATAGGTTTTACTTCGCCTTCTCCAAACAATGAAGGAAAATACTTATTAATACGTTTGTTGATCTGTCTAGCTTTGTCTGCACTATATAACTTCCTCTGCAGCAGCAGCAGTAGCTGAATTTGTAAATACACACGAAAGTGGCATAGCTAGATAGCTTGTCTTTCGCTTCTTGAACAATCATAATTGGTCGGCTGGAAAATGACGAAGAGGTGGCGGCAGTATGAGTCCGTTTTATTGCTCCACATAATCTTAGATGTAGAACTTCCTTACTACTAGCCACGTCCCCGTTAAATTGCAGTTTTACGAACAGTTGTTTCTTTCTAACTGTTGTCAGTTTCTCTTTATTATACATAGCGTTCATGTGTCCGTCTCCTTATGAATCTACTAGGACCACCGTCATTGGTTAAATTTTTCTGTATATATAAAGCTATGTGAAGTAGAGTAAATCATGAGGAAGAAGATCTAATCGGAAACAATACTGTTTTCCTATATGTCGTCTTGTTCTAATGTTAATAGTGGAAATATTAAAAAATTTTAACTGGATTTGCCTGTTTTGTTTGTTTCACTTTTTTGAGTATCTAAGGCCTTATTTTTTTCTTCCATGATTTTTAGGCGACGTGGTAGTTACTTCTTTTCGCCTTATTAAAAAAAACACTGGTGGAACAATTGATGAAAAAAAACGCAAAAAAAAATTAAAAAAAAGAAATTGTGAGCACAAAAGAATTATTGTTTGCAAAATGCATGTATGGCATCAAATTCTACCTTACCTACTGTCAGCTGTTTTCTGTGGAACTAATTATTCTGTTGTCTGAATTTTAGGTACAACACCCGCCTTAAACTGTATGATGTGGCAAACATTTTCTTCCAAAATCTAAAAACAGAGACTACAGCAGCATCATACGTGTTGGTGTGGGAATGCATCATGTGCAAATGTACCACCAAAATTGTTATTTTTAATTTTTATACTATTAAGCTTGTTTGTCACTCTGTCTGTGTATGTTTACAAAATATTTTGTTGGTTGTAAATGCTTTTTCTTCTTCTAATATGATCTTATCCGATGTAAATCCACGTAACGTTTTGGGTTTGTGTGAGCTGGCTGATATTGTTACTCTATGCGTCACATAATAAAAAGGACAAACAGTCGTCCAACAAGACTGAGAAAGCATATCGTCAAGCATTTCCATCTATCCACAGGTGTAGATTCATTGATGTCGCACTTGATGGAGATTTTCATCCGAAAACTGTCTGACTGACTGGTTTTAACATAGAACTTTGCATAGATATGCAGCAACACTTCGAGTTGCCACTGTCTATGTATAGAGATTCAGAAGCGAGATAATAAACAGAAGTGTTAGGGAGGAATAATAGACTTTAATTGGATATAACGATTCACAAAGAATGAATTTCTAGCTGTCTTAAGCTGTTGTTATGGATTTCATTGACTGATGAAGCCAGCCACGTCTTCATTTTCCAGCCTGATCCATCCATCCTATGTCAGCTAAGGTAACATTGCCAGTCAGTCGAGTAAGGCGATCTATGGAAAGCTAGGGATGCATGTGTAACACGTGCCGTAACCATCTCACTCAATCGATGTGACTGCTTCACACCCTCGTCGATTGATTTCCCATCCTCCTCCTTACCTATTACTCACTCGACCGATGCCTCTCTATCTGAATATTACTCACACTACTATACCACCTGACTTAACATTGGAGATAGATGCAGCACGGTCACTGCGTATGATGAAAGGTTGCTAGCTGATCGGTCAATGGATGTCTGGCTTCCACTTTGAATGGCAGTGTCTGGCTCACAGCCAACCAGCCATTAAGGAGGATGGAGCGAACTGCTGCTGCCTCCGTGCAGTATGTCCTTTGGTTGACAGACAGTTGGATATCACGTCTACCAGGCCAGAGATACCGTAGTTTGGTTGGCAAGTGTCCAACGATCCTACTGTAGCCGTGGTGAGATTTCGTCAGCGGGCTGGCTGATGCAAAAGCCTCCCAAATAAGTGAAGTGTTGGTCAACACGCCCAGTCATCACTTCACTCCTGTCTATATTTAAGCTAGGAGTGAGTCGATGTAGTCGAGTAGTCCTGTAGCATTATCTTACATTTGACAGTAGGTGCGAATCGCATGCTAAACATCCGAAGATTATTTCTCCTCAAGGTGTGTTCAGAAAACTATATTTTGTCAGCGTCTTCTCACGTAGGAGTACTAAATCATTATCGCATGTTTTAAGTCAACGGGATTATCCGCTGTTAGTAATAATTTAATCCCTAGGTCGCTGAATTCAGTTGGGCTTAAGTTCATTAGTACACATATGATTAAGTTAATCTGAAATGGGGACACTGGGCATCCCAAACGGACACCACTGGTTTTCATCACAGTTGTCAGATGATAACTCTCTGTAGCCTATTTCCTTGCTGGCGGCATGATTTCGAGTCCGGACTCTTCACTGGGTGGCTGACAAAAATTGTGAATCTAGAAAAAAATTTGGTCAAATATTTTCGTTTTAGCAATCAGCATTAATAGAATATTGAGCTAAGATCTGTCCCACACAAATCAGATTTCCAGTATTCATATTCTATACTTGATTATATATCCTATTGTCTGAAGGTAGTACTATGAAACCTTACATTATTACTTAATATCGCCCTCGTAGGATGAACACTTGTACTGTAACATGAAGTTAGTGGGAGACGTTCAGTTAAGCAGTCAGACTACAGTATTTTTTGAACTGATTATTCGTTGGCGTAGGAAGTTCCAAAACCGTCCGGTGTTGCTTAATCTTTATTGTCAACAGCTATCTAAACTTTTTTTTATCCAGAAGACGCAAAGTGGTGGTGGGGAGACTGTTGTAAGAAATCTGCAGCCTTCCCTTTTTTCTCGAAATTCTTTGTGCTTGATGACGTGCCAATTCTCGGAACCGTACTGATTGATGCATACTGACGACATGAATGTTGAACAAATTGGATTTTCTTTGCTGTGTTGTTCTATTGATCTTCACAAGGATGATTATTGTGCACAGTAAAGATCCTTATTGATCCTCATGCTTCTCTCAGGTATGTAGCTGAAAGGATGCTCTTCACATTGATGAAGTGAGACATTTAAGGGAAGTTGTCTCTTTGTCTCACCTTTAGCTATCTTCAAGTTTTATATAACATTAAACATAAACCATCTTCAAAGATCATACCTTCTAGAATCTTTTATTTAGCGTTTCAAATTGCAGTTATCTTTCACTCCTCACCGTTAGCTGCATTATTAAATCCACTACACTGTAATAATAGGCTGTCGTGTGTTACACTTCTCCGCCTCCTGGAGAAAGGCTTGTCGACGCCTCGAGTATTTTGACGGTATCATCTTACTACTGTGTATCAGATAGCATGCAGGTCGCCTAAATCGCTCTTAACCAGTTGGCGATCAGTGTCTGTAAGCATGGCATATGAAGAAACACCTAGCATAGTAGCAAACTGGGAACTTAACTGGTAGAATCCAGCCTGCACGAAGTAACGAAACGAAGGAGTAGATGCATAGCAATAGTTATGAATATCTAGTAACTCAGTCAAAGTGTGCATTACAGTCCCACAGGACAGGAAGAGGTCAATCCTAAGGCGGGATGGATTACTGACAACGTCTTTCACGCGAGTTAGAATCTTCGAGGGAATACGGGTTCCTTAGGTTTGAAGATACGCCTTGCTGACTGTGGTGGGTACTCCGTAACATTGCAGTTTGAATGATTTCTAACAGGACATAGTATTAGAGCTAAGTGTTTTGATAATTCATATGTATTTCTGAAATTTACCATTGTTCTTACGGTGTTAAAAACAACATATCTCTAGCCTCTTGACAAAAGCTCACTAGTAAAGGGAATACAATTCACATTAGAATAGGAAAATGAACAAGAAGAATTACCTATGTTAGATTGTAAAATAAAACGAACAGAAGAAGGTTAAATGCACACTAGTGTTTATAAAAAAAACCAACACATTCTGCTGATAGATATTTAGACTTTAATTCATCTCATCCGTTGTCTGTGAAGGTTGGTTTAGTTAAGTGTCTAACAAACCGAGCAATGGCATTAAGTAGTACAATAAAACACCTAAACGATGGTATGAAATAGATAGAAGAAGAGGCGTTAGTGTTAAATAACCATCCTATAAAATTCATTAGGAATATCAAAAAGGTCAAACTCAAAATAAAAATAATGGTGAAACTAATAATGATAACTTAAGTAAGCAAGAACATTGGCATCTACTGTTATACCATATAAGGAGGGGACATCTGAGACCCTAAGTAGGATTCTCAATAAAGCAGGAATTAGTGTGGCATCGAAACCTGCAAACTCACCCAGAGACAATCTCTGTAGGCTAAATGACCCAGTGGACCCAATTTACAAAATACCTTGCAATGACTGTGAGTTAAGTCAACTACATAGGTCAAACTAGTAGATCAGACATCAGTAGTGAGACTGCTTGTGAGAACATAAGAACTTAGCTAAGGTTAGAATGATTGATCCCACGAAGATAATTAATTTAAGAAAAAACTCAGCAATCGCACTGCATGCATTAACACACAACTACACGATAGGGTGGGACAGAGTTAAAATTCTAAAAAGTAATATAGGCGGGTGGAGAGAGAGATTGATTATTGAATCCTCGTTCATCTAGTCTACACCCATCACATGCAACAGAAATGACTCAATGCAAATACCAGAAATATGTATGGAAGATATTATTACCACCAGTCAAATCAGAGGAGGATGATAGGTAATCTCAAAATTCTATTTCAATTCAAGCACATCATAACATCCTAACAAGTTACTTATTATGACTATAAAAACACTCGTCTTATTTCCCATCTGATTGTATTATATTGATAACACTAATATTATTTCTGAATGCACTTTATCTTACATTGATTTTACTCAAATGTCTAATCAATTTTACTCATGTAGATAAATGAAGCAAAACGTTGTATGAGTGACTAGATATGGTTATGATCAGTAATTTGTACTCGAAACGTCATCAGTTAATATTACTGTACAATACTGTGTGATTTATCGAAATAAAATCTTATCCATATTGGACTCTCCTAAGTGCCACTGAGAACTTTGTGTGGATATTTGACTATCATTATTCTATGCTCCTCCGTTCGAGGATGTTGCGTGGTAGTGATGAGGTCTCGCTCGGTTCCTATTCTCACTATTTCTGAGGCGTGGGGGGCAGGCGAGTCGCATGTATTTATACCGCTTTCTTGGCTTTCGGTAACTCTATTGCGTTCAGGACTTCTAATGCTTTTTTGACTGGATTGTTTTTCACTGGGAGTTGTGTGTGTTTGACCGCGGACCGTGGTTTGTCTGCACATGTTGCATATGGTGGTGGTCTGTTGTTCAAGAGTGCCTTGAGGTGTTCAGGATATCATTGGCTTCGTCCATCAGGTAAAGACCTCCGTCATACAGGTATTTGCCGTGACAAATTTGTACAATTCGTGGAAAATCCCCTTCGAGACCTGAAGAACATCAAAACAAGTGATTCAGGGAAGAGACAATCAATGTTATATGTAGAATAATTCATAAGATGTGTACATGTTGAGTAGTGGGTTGTATAATTATAAGATCAGTAGGCAAATATAACATAACATAGTGTGAAATTTGATAAGATAAAATCCAACAGTGCAAAAAATTGATTTAGGATGATAAGTATGACGAGTGAAATAATACTGGGGATAATTCCGCTGACGTTATTACGTCAAGGACCTTAAAGACGACGAATACTACCTGCAGGTAGTATCTGACTCCCAGATATTTGTGCATATTTCCATTGAACAGACGCTTATACGGGAGTTTTCAGACATCAGTGAAGGAAGTCATGAAAGCAAATCTAATCAACCAAACGACAGGTAAGCGTTGCTGCGTACCCAATCATGTCAGTGCTTAGGCCATTTAGCAGGAAACAAGCATCAGTAGAAGTCATTACGGTGTGCATTTACGTCAGTTAACCTGTCTGAGTGGATGTTGCAATTGATCGT